ATGCCCTTCTAATTTTTTGTATTTTTAGTAGAGATGGGATTTCGCTGTGTTGGCCAGGCTGGTCTCGAACTCCTGACCTTGTGATCCGCCTGACTCGGCCTCCCACAGTGCTGGGATTACAGGTGTGAGCCACCGCACCTGGCCATGGACTGATTCACTCTTCTTATGAAAAAACACAAGTTTCTAATGATTAACTTTCTGGGTTGTGGGAAGTTGTGCTTCATAACAATATGGGACTTGTATTCCTTTACACTCTCATCTATAATATCAATATAAATACTTTCTCTGATGAGTAAGTAGGTTTCTGAGATAAGTCCTTGCTTTTATTATAGCTGATAACGCAAGATTATATGAGGTAGTATTGCTAACCACTAGTGAGAGGTTTTGCTATATAATGTGGAACTTACACTTCATTGGTCTTCCCAGAACCCCCTAGATGCCACTCTAAATTGTTTATTGACAGCATTAATACCTGGAGAATTTGCTTAAAAGAAGTAGATTATTTTTCTCCCCTTCCTTCTTCTACCCACACCCCCATAACTCTGTTTTTCTTAAAAAATAAAAAATCTTCAAAATTGCCAACATTGCTCACTTGTCGAGAACAAGGGAACAAGTCAGCCATCATATTTACCCTATTTTTTAATTCATAGAGCTGCATAAAAACTATGTTATCCAAAGCACCATGAAGCTGCACACTCACCAATTTCGAGATAATATAAAATATCACATAATCAATTATGGAAAATAATGAAATGGAATGTTGGCATAGAAAACCTCCTCGGAGAGTATTAAAACAAGGAATCAATTGCTCGGGTGGGGGGGGTTGGGTGTTAAAATTACAATCAGTCAAGTCTTTACCAATGGCCAGCTGTGGGTGCAGACCTGCAGGGCATGTGTGAGAGGGGTCAGATACAAGTTGCTGAGGTAGTCACTGCCCTGTAAAGATTGTCATTAATTCTACAAACAATGAAAGAGTTGTTTGCTTATGCTGTGGGCTAGGTGCACAAGATACACGGAAAACTGCAGAAGTAAAAGTAATTCAATCATTTGTTCCTTCATTTAGCAAGCATTTATTAAGTGGCTTTTTTTTTCTGCCAGACACCAAGGAAGGCACTTGGGAGCTGTAGCTTCAGAATCGGTCCCTGCCCTCAAGGAAGGCAGAAAAATAAGCAAACAGTCATAATACTTTGTGAAAGCGGGGAGATTATAGGAGATGCCCTGTTAGACACAAAGGAAGACAGGATAATGTGAACAGCGCAGAATATAAAACAAAAATGAAGTACTAATTACAGGTAACAGGCTCAATTTCACCTATTCCTGCAATTTTTAGAGAAGCAGAGGAACAGGGGATATGCAGATTTTGAAGTGTGTCCTCAGCATCCTAAAAGGAAAGAAAGCTAGGAAAAATCAGACTGTTTTTTTGTTTGTTTTGAGACAGAGTCTTGTTCTGTCACCCAGGCTGAAGTGCAGTGGCGCGATCTTGGCTCACTGCAACCTCCGCCTCCTGGGTTCAAGCAATTCTCCCGTCTCAGCCTCCCGAGTAGCTGGGATTACAGACGCCTGCCACCAGACCTGGCTAATTTTTTAAGAGATGGGTTTTCACCATGTTAGCCAGACTGGTCTCGAACTCCTGGCCTCAAGGAATCTGCCCACCTAGGCCTCCCAAAGTGCTGGGACTACAGGCATGAGCCATGGCACCCGGCCTCAGATTGTTGTCTTACAATTTTAGTATGCCTTAATTGTGGCAAGGTCTTGTCGCCATAACTATTTCTGTCAAGCTATATGCGAAGGACAGGAACCATCAAATGCAAATGAAAAGGAAGACCCCTTGATGAGATGGCTCTAGAAGACATACTTCCGTGTGTGTGTGTGTGTGTGTGTGTGTGTGTGTGTGTGTGTGCGCGTGTGTGTGTCAGGGTCTTGCTCTGTCATCCAGCCTGGAATGCAGTGGCGCAGTCATGCCTTACTTCAGCCTCAACCTCCTGGGCTCAAGCAGTCCTCCCACCTCAGCTCCAGAGTAGCAGATGTGTGCCACCACACTTGGCTAATTTTTACATTTTTTGTAATCTCCCTATGTTGCCCAGGCTGGTCTTGAACTCCTGCACTCAAGTGATCCTCCCACCTCGGCCTCACAAAGTATTAGGATTATGAGTATGAGCCACCACAGTTGGCTGACATACCTCTCTTAATTTTCACTCACCTTTTCTACTTTTGTTCATGGCCAGCAGATAGTCTCAGTTCTTCCATTTTTCCACCTGCAAAATGGGAATAATAAATTTTCTTGTTGTATAAATAGGTTCTTAAGCTGGAATCCTTTTTAGGTGTCCATAAATAGACTTTGGGGATTCTATAGTCCCCCACCCACTTGGAAATTCAATGCAACATTAACATGTATGGTAATTGTTTCTAGAAAGCCAATTTCAAAGTAAAGTATTTCGGGCTTTCCTGAAATAAGTGCTAAATAAATAACTAATACTTCACATCACAGAAGAACAACATAACAAAACCAAATTACCATCATAGACTAATAAATCTGAAATAAGATGCTGATAGTGTATGAGAATACAATAAAACCCAGAGAGAGCAAAGTGCACCTGGCTTTGAAATCACTCCTTAGCACCTGAGGGGATCACTTCCTGGAATCTGCTCTGCATGCAATGACATGCAAATTGCTAGGACTTTAGGCCACAGCTCCTTGGGTCAGCTGTTGGCAGAGAACATTTGGGCAGATCTGCATAAGCTGCTGCCCACCGCCTGGATTGTAATACCACATGACATTCTGGAGACTTTCCTTTAAAGAAAAATATGAACTCTCGCTGTCAACTAAACCACTAAATACCGTTTGGGTGAACATTCTCCCACACCAGAGTCATTTTCAAAAAGGCAGTGACTGCATTTGTCTTGTCCACCCTTATCTGCTAGGGCCTGGCACTTATAACCATCAAAGAATTGGCTCTCAACAATAGCTATTTACTTAATGAATGTAACTGTTTTGGTCAGAAGGTACTTACTGGTTTGAAACATTTCTGATGGAGATGTGCTCAGGGATGCCTTTTCCTGATCACAGAGCTTGATTATACTTCTATTTCTGTAAGTAATTTCTTTTTCTCTTCTAAACAGCACTTACATGGTCCTCCAGTTGGGAGCCTTCTGTTAGCTGTTATTTCTGCGTTTGTGTATTGCTTTACACTTCACAAAGGGCTTTCCCATCCATTATCTCATTGCATCTTCACAAGACCTGCCCCACATATATTTAGCTGAGAAAATATAAGGCTGGAGAATTAAGCAGCTTGGCCAAGCTCTCATAGCTAGAAAGTGTGGAATTGTGCCTCAAATCCTTGTTTTTGCTCTTCGTTTAGTGCTTTCTTGAGCTCACTGTGTCCTGAAATTGTGGAAATAAAGTTAGCCAGAAACTCTTATCACTACTAATATATCGGTGACAGCTGTTCAGAGTCTTATGGAATGACCACATAAAAATGAATTTGATAAAGTAAATTAAATGTATTTGTTTTATAAAATTCTAGAGCCTCTTGATATAATTTGGAGACAGCCTAGATTGTGAGAGGGAGAAAGAGAATTCTTATTTTGAGGTGGAGTCTTGCTCTGTCACCCAGGCTGGAGTGCAGTGGCGTGATCTCTGCTCACTGCAGCCTCTGCCTGCCGGATTCAAGTGATTCTCCTGCCTCAGCCTCCCAAGTAGCTGGGATTACAGGTGTGCACAACGACGCCCAGCTAATTTTGTATTTTTAGTAGAGCCAGGGTTTCGCCATATTGGCCAGGCTGGTCTCAAACTCCTGACCTCAGTTATCTGCCGGCCTCAGCCTCCCAAAGTGCTAGGATTACAGGCATGAGCCATTGTGCCTGGCCAACAAGTCTTTAGACATACCTCTGAACCTCTCTGACACCCCTGTTTTCTCATCTGAAAAAATGGGTCCCAGTTCTCCTAACTTCAAAGGCATGTTTTGCAAGTCAAATCTAAAATACACAAAAACTCTTAAAAATATTAAACAACATATAAATGTCTGTTGCTTTTTAAATAATGTGTAGTGTGTATCTAAACATGGCCATCGCATTTGGGTACACCAAGGTTTTTGTCTGGTAAATATCACAAAACAAAAAGTAAACTGATACAGAGAGCTATAGAAATGGATAAATATGCTGTCCATATTTAAATATGAGGACTGGACATGTGACAGCTGTGCATTTGTCATTGAAGAATGCAGTTCCCTGGAGGGAAAGGTGAAACACGTGTAAGATCCCTGTTATAATGTAGCACTTTTCACTCATAGCAACCATGTCAGGAAGATACTTACTGTTCTTGGGCCCGTTATTCAGATCAGAAAACTGAAGTTTAGAGAGTTGGTGGGAAATTTGTCCAAATTATAAAAGAAGCTCCAGTTAGCACCGACATCATGCTTGGTGAGTGTTTTCTTCAGTCCAGCACAATTGGACTTTCAGTTAACACTGGTTACAAAATTGGCAGTGTGTCTTTGTCTCCAAAAGTCAAATGGGCTGTAATGCTAATTTTCTTTTATATGATTTCTTTTGGCTTGGCAGTTTGCTAATATCTATATACTATTTCAGCTTCACTTTAATGTACTGTATTCATTTTTAGATACATAAGCATAGGCAATCTGGGGTCATTCTGATGGGGCCTACTCAGGACAACCTGAGGCACCTGGACCTAACTCTAATAACTCTATTAATGTTAGGTAGACCTATTTAATGGAGTGCATTTTCCTAGCAGTTCATTGATTATAAATACTTAGCTTAAGTACCTATGTGTGTCCTAAAAAAAAATTTGTCCAAATGAAAATCATGACTTTTAGGAACAATGATATGAATTCTGAGCACCTGTGCTTCAATGACCATGAGTGGAGACTTTCTTATTTATAGGTAGTCCTCTTATGTTGAAAACTACACAAAAACCAAAAAGTAGTGAATAACAGTGTTATATTTTGTGTTTTTTTGTTTGTCTTTTTCTATTTCTTTTGCAGGTTGATGACCAAATGAAGCTGCTTCAGAACTGCTGGAGTGAGCTCTTAATCCTTGACCACATTTACCGACAAGTAGTACATGGAAAGGAAGGATCCATCTTCCTGGTTACTGGGCAACAAGTAAGTGTAGAGACCGGAAAAAAAAAAGAAAAAGAAAAAAAAAGCGTCTTTTTATTAAGCATGTTCAGAATGGCCGGAATTTAACTAGGTCAGAAGCACTCTTGTGCTTTGAAAGGGAGAGATTGGCTGCCAATAATTTAGAAAAGATGACTTGGTGCACTCTGTTCCTGCTCCGATGATTATAGTTAAACTTGTAAAAGCAAACATAATCATGAACATTCTGCTGCTTCCAGTCTGCTGGGACTGAAAGTCCTGCTTATAAGGGTCCGAAGAACTGGTAAATCAAACGTAATGATTAGTACCTAGGGTTTTTTTTTTCCTCGAGCTTCTGCTTTAACCTATGACACTTGTTTGTCGGCTATTTTAAAACCTTATAACTTGTGGAGTCCTAACTATTTTGGAACAATAGTGGTGAACGAGATGGATTTGGATGTCACGAATAATTGAAATAGTTGGTATAAAGGCAAATGAGAGGGAGAAGAATTTCAGTTTTCAGGATCCAGTCATTCAAATGAAAGATAGAAAGAAAAAAATTACTGTTAGGTCCTACACTTTTCTGAACAGATATTTGTTTGATCAACAAATATTTATTGAACATCCAACTCTGTGCTAGTTACTTTTCCAGGGCTTTGGTATATATTAGTGAACAAAATAAAAAGTTTCCTGCCCTCACGGAACTTAATGTTGTAGCAGGAAGGAGCTGACATTAAACAATAATCCTAAGAAACAAGCCTGTAATATGTTAAAAGTCAAAGTGCTATTGAATAAAAGGAAAAAAACAAAAAAGAAAGAACCAATGAAAGGAAAATCAACACTCATCCGTAGACGTGTGTTGCAGTGTGACCATCTGTTGCACTGTGAAATAGGAATGGTTGGTTTGGCTTTATTGAAAATGTAACATTTGAGCAAAGTCTTAAAGGAGGAGAGACAGCTTTGTGAATGTCTTCAGAGAGAGTCTACTTAATGAACCTACATGCAACTTTACAGGAATATAGGCAAGTCTCTCCAGTTTCTTACCTTCCATTCTACAGCTGATGTGCTATTTAAATAAATGTGTGGAACACAGTGATTCCTTCAGTCCTTTGGATCATACCTATTCAGGGCACCACTGCTTTGTTCAGCAATGGTGACTTCAGTACTCAGGCACCATGATCTTTTACGTCCAGCCATAAATGTTTATGTGCTGTGAAACCACAGCAGTGCTATTTGGAAATGAAGGGCTGTCTCCACATCATTTGCTGTATTATTAATAAATCAAAATTTCCCAATCAAATTAAAAGCAAGCACTATTTCAGAGTTTTTGCAAATTGGGTCAATTCAAGCATCTCCATCACTATCTGGTCCTTACTAAATGCACCTCTCAGGAGAAAAGCTTTGTAGAGGAGAAAATACAGTCTCAATGGGTTTGACTTTCTGTGCTTTCAAATTTTTGTTTGGCATTTTCATTCTGGGACCCAAGTCTTTGGAGGAAATGTACCCATTTTCAGAGTCTAGTCATTGGGTGTGCCTCCCACCTTCACCCAATTAGGAGCTGCATTGGAAGTACAAGACTGGGCTCACAAATTAATTTGATTTCATTTCCTTCTGAGTTTCAGAAATGAAATGGGTTGTGCCGTTCTTTTTCTCAAAGCACTTCCATTCCTGCTCTTTAGAAATACTTCTTATTTCACATTTCATTTTGCCTTAAGTGCTGCCTGTGGGTGAGGGTAATTACTATTTAAAAAGTAGAGAAAAGTGCATTTCTTGCTGTCTGATTTTCAAAACCAAGATCAAGGAATGGATGGTATTATAGTTTTTCAGATCAGTTACTGGTGCTTTGCGTTTTGTCATCAGAACTGAATGAGGAACTCGGTGGTGGAGAAATAGTCATTTCCTTATATGTTTCCTGCAGCCTGGATTCTTCCAGCTCCCCTCCCCACCCTTTAAAGTGTGCCACAGGTCTGTCTGAACCCCTCCCTTCACTTTTTTCATCCAGTCCAGTGACTACCCTCGTAATGATTAATTGTAATCAGACATTCTCATTTATGGCAATTATGGTAGATGTCTTTATTTTATTTTGTGGAATATCTAGACAAAATGTTTTGAATTTATCTCTGTGATTCTTGCATTTCATAGGATGGGAGCAAAAGTGCTACAAAGGAAGACTTCAAAAGTTTATAACCTCTCTCTCAGAATTAGATAGGTATCTTAAAGCAGGGTCATATACATGTACTTTTTTTATACCCTCACAGTACCTAGCACAAAGCTGAATATGTTAGGCACACGATAAATATTACCTGACTGAACTAAATGAGAACTATTTTATCTCTCCCCTGGTTGCTTGATTAAAACAAATTAAGTATAATTTTTTTGAGAATTATAAATACTCCTCTGAGTGTAAAGATAGGAAAATTAGATTTTTCCTACAACAACAATACATTACTTAGTGTACACCAATTTTAAGAAGGTAGTTAAAACAATGATGAATGGAAGGAAAGGAATATATGAAGTGTAAGAGTAAATAAAGCAACATGCTAGAAGAAAAGATGATTTATAAAAAAGAAAAGAGGCCAGGCACAGTGGCTCACACCTATGATCCCAGTGCTTTGGGAGGCTGAGGCGGGGGGGTCATTTGAGGTCAGGAGTTCGAGACCAGCCTGGCCAGCATGGTGAAATCCACTAAAAATACAAAAAAATTAGCCAGGCATGGTGGCATGCACCTGTGGTCCCAGCTACTTGAGAGGCTGAGGCAGAAGAATCGCTTGAACCTGGGAGGCAGAGGCTGCAGTGAACCAAGATTGTGCCACTGCACTCCAGCCTTGGCAACAGAGCGAGACTCCATCTCAAAGAAAATAAAAAATATAAAAGAAAAGAGGTGGGAAGCTAGGAGATATATATACACACACACACATATATCTACATATATACACATATATATGATATGAAAGTAGTTGAAGGAAGCAAAAAAAAAAAAAAGAACTGCTTCCTTTTATGTTTATAATCCAATAACAACTGAGCTGTGGTGAGAGTGTATTTTCTTTGCTGGTGCAGACTATATGCTCTCTGGTGTGTGTGTGTAAAATTCACACATACAGTGTAATCTGGAATTGGAATAACCTGTTTTCGTGTCTCCATTCCAAAACTTCCTGGCTACGTCGTCTTTAGCGAGTCGCTTTACCTTTTGAGATTCAGTGTCCTCGCCTGTCCAGTGGCAACTATGATGGTATCTACCAGAGAGAATTGCAGTAGGAATTACAGGAAGTATTCTGTGAAATGCTGACATAAAAATTAGAAGTCATCAAAACTAGGCCAGTGCAAGGGTGACATTTATGGCGTCAACAACCCCATGAAGAAAGGACTATTATCCCACTTTGGCAGATGAGGAACCAAGGCAAAGAGAGATGAAGTGGTTGATTCAAGGTCAAGACGCATCTAGTAAGTGGTAGAACAGATGGTCAGATCGAGGCCGACTGGTACCAGAGTTTGTGTTCTTTACCAACATGCCATACTGTTTATCTGGATAACTCAGAGATGCTGCAGAGCTTGCCTTCACGCCGGCATTTAATTTGGTCTTCATGTGTAATTCCAGTGCATGACAGACTCTACGGAAATTCCAAGCAAAACAAATTCATTTCCTTTTTTGTTGAGACTAAATGCATACACTTTTTTTGTGGTTTAGTTAGTTAGTAGTTTGTTTTTGGGGGGAGTTTTCTATATGGCATTGTAAGCACATTGTTACAGTAAATTTAAGTTATTCACAAGCAATTTTAATGTGATTGTTGCTTAGTGTTTTAAAATTATTTTAATATTAAGACAAAACTAAAACTAAGAAAAAATCATTCATAATGCCACCTCTTGAATCAACTTTTTCTTGAATTCTCTTCCAATCTTTGGGGGAAAACATATATCTTAAAAGAGGATTTTTCTCATTTTTCTAAGTAAAATAACTTGCCTGCCCCAGAGACATATTGACGTGCTATCATGGATTTGTGTGGAATGTGAACTTTCAAACGCTGCTACAAGTATGTTTCCATGAAGCACTGTATTAAGGCCATGTTGTTGATATCACGGGAAAAAAAGTAAATGGTATTACCTCAATACAGCATACAAAATTCCCGTTAAAGGCAGCTTGGTACTCACCTGTAGGAGATAAATACATTTTTTAATTTAGTTAAAACAAATGCTTCTGATGACCTGATAAATGAAGGGAAATCAAAGATGTAAGGGGAAAAACATTAGACACAGCTCTGCAGCCAATAGTGATAAGAGGCATAATTCATCCACCTAATTAATGACTGTAATGACTGCCCTTTGCATAGTGCTTTTCACTGTGTACTTTCACAGGTAAGCCCCATTACACAGGGTCAGAGAAAGTGCGGGGAAATTTCAGAGGAGGAAGTGCAAAGAGAATAAGATGGGTGTTCAAAGCTGTCCAGATTATTCAGCTTCTATAAGGAAGTGCCTTACCCCTAAAGTGAGGATATTTGATTGTACTCTCCTTTGCAAGTTGAGGAAGACACCATTGCTTAAAATCCTTCTAGGTCAGAGGAACAGTGACAAGCAATTACTGGATGAAACTTTAAACTCGCCACCTTTTTCAGCCTCAGCCAGAAGAAATACAATTCACTCATTATAGATTTCCAGGTTTACTTATAGTATTTTCTCAACCGCCCTATTGAGAAAATGATTACTTCTGGAACAAATGAAAATGTTTATACTGACTATTTTGAGATTGGCAAATAGGAATATTAAATGTGCCTTAGTCCACTATATCAGGAACGAAGTCCCAACACAAAGGGAACGGCAGACAGTGACTTTGTATCCCCTTGAAAGCATGTATGTCATGTCTACACATTGCTTTATAGTGACCTTTTGGACAAACAGAGGAATGCAAGACCCCAGGTGCTCCATAGCCCAATCTTCTGGCTTTTTCTTACTAAATACAGCTCACTGTAAATAATGTGGTGAATTTGTCATAGCAGAGGAAAAAGAATAAGACTAGCCTGGATTTTTAAAAATGAGTGACTATCCAGGAAACTGCTCCTTGGAACTTGAAAAGAGAAGAAAAATAAATAAAACAGCACAGCCTTTCTCTTAAGCCCAGTGGCTCACAAGTTTGCTCAATAAATGTTTGCAGAATTGAATCTGTTCATAGTTCATTGAGAACTAGAGAAACTAAAATAGCCCCACTGCAAAAAGCAGCCCAGGACACCAGTACATTGTATATTGAAATGAGAATTCAGTGTTTCACTTAACCCTATAAGTTAGCTATTATGTTTTAATTGTGTCTTTGAATCAGGCATCTACATAAATGTATATTAAATAGCCTTATTAAGCAAAAAGGAAATTATAATTATCAATAATATTAAGCACTTCAAATATTCTATATAATCACAACTTATAGTTATGAAAAGAATTCTTTCCTATCCAGCATTTTAAAAGCTATACACGCACATATGCACACATATATCTATGTATGTATAAAATAATAATGTACTTTGAAGTAGGGTCAGGTTTTAGTATTTGCATATTGTTGCTAATTAACAGCCACTGTAACATCATCCTAAGGGAAAGGTCTACTGGCAACTTATTATCTTCTATCATTGTGTATCATATTAAAATGACAGGCATCTTATACAAGTCATCAAAATTTCAGTGATTAGAATTAAAAGCAATTTAGCTAAAACTGTTTCTATTTTCATGATGAGTGAAATTTATCCAAAGGGGACATCAGTTTAGAGTATTTCTTCAATACTTCCCTTGAATTTAATGACACAAAGGTTACATGTAAGAGAGCAATAAATTAATTTTACTAAGTACATAAAAGATAAGACCAGCTGCTCGTGAAATGAGCACAAACTCTGCATTCAACAATGAAAATATAATTATGTTTGTAATAAAATGTAAGGAAGTTGCAGATCTCTATGTTGTTTCAAGAATAAATCACCCATCCTTCTTAAGAGCTGTGCAATTTGATAAATTATCCTTGAAAGAAATGTTGTCTAAGCCCCCATTTAATAAACATGTTTGAGCTTTCAGATTAGCATGTAAATAAATGTATAGCTATAAAGTTGTTGGTAAACCAATTGATTTTTTGAGGTCCACCTCACTAACGGTCTCTCACTAAATATATAACCCTATGAAACAAATTAGATTCCTTTCCATTATAGTGTACTACATTTTCAAGTATGAAATTCTAGTATTTGAACTTATTATTATACACCTGTTAGAACTACATACATCAATATTTAATTAACTCCATCTTAATAATGGAAAATTAATACCAACATATTTGTGTTTCATTTTAGTATGGTCTTCCTGGTTCAGGCCTTAACTAGTGATTTTTTTTTTCTTTTATTTTTTTCCTTTTTTTTTCTTTTGAGAGAGTTCTAGCTCTTGTCCCCTAGACTGGAGTGCAGTGGCAGAATCTTGGCTCACTGCAACCTCCGCCTCCTGGGTTCAAACGATTCTCCTGCCTCAGCCTCCCAAGTAGCTGGGATTACAGGCACCTGCCACCACGCCTGGATAATTTTTGTATTTTTAGTAGAGACGGGGTTTGTCCATGTTGGCCAGACTGGTCTCGAACTTCTGACTTCAGGTGATCCACCCGCCTCAGCCTCCCCAAGTGCTGGGATTATAGGCATGGGCCACCACACCTCACCTTTTCTTCTTTTTCTTTTCTTTTTTTTTTTTTTTTGAGACAGAGTCTTACTCTGTCGCCCAGGCTGGAGTGCAGTGGTGCATTCTCAGCTCACTGCAACCTCTGCCTCCCGGGTTCAAGCGTTTTTCCTGCCTCAGCCTCCTGAGTAGCTGGGATTACAGGTGTGTACCACCATGCCCAGCTAATTTCTGTATTTTTAGTACAGACCGGGTTTCACCATGTTGGCCAGGCTGGTCTTGAAGTCTCGACCTCAGGTGATCCACCCACCACGGCCTCCCGAAGCACTGGGATTACAGGAGTGAGCCACCGTGCCCAGATCTTAACTAGTGATATTTACTACAATATACTTTGTATATTTTAAGCTACAGTTGCAATTTATTCCATTGATTCCAAGCTTAAATTGATAGTCTTGTCCCATCTATGATTACTTCTTGATAATCACAGAAGTGAGAAGTACCTTATTATCATCACCTAACTTAGTTCAGTGATTTATTTAAAGATGAGGACACCAAGGGATGGAGATTTATACATACTTGCCCAAGGCTCTTCGTATGTAAGAGGCAGCATTGACTTAGGTCTCATACCTAGTCTCAGGCTTTTGCCACCACTGCTGTACCATCAGGCCTTGCTGCTCTCATTCACTCGTCTATCCCATTCGTCTCAGTAAAATTTGTATTATTATTATCTGAAGTAGTTGACTATGTGCAGTTTTTAAAGAATTTATAGCATAGGCACCTTTGTAAAGTAAGGACTTCCCTTGAAGTAGAAAGTTCCCCTGTAAGAGAACTGGCAAAATGATAGTTGAGACGTCACTTTGTCTGCTCTGCAAATAATCCCAACGTGCTCCGCAGAGTTCAACAGCTTGTCCTGCCTCCTTCCAGTTCAGGGTTCAGGTTGCCCTGGTACTGACCCTTCTTTCACACACTCTGAAACAGAAACCACAGGAGTTCTTACAACACTTGATGTTTAAATTTAGTGCGTAGATGCCAGCACCCGGCTAAAGCAGGTAGACAGTGCTATACATGATGCAAGAGCTTTCCTCTAACACACATTAACTGTGGCTTTTTCATGCATAGTTGACTCTATATAAACTGATTGACACCTTTGGGGGTCATCTTTCCACTGACTCATAATTTTTCTCACTCTTGAAAAAGGTTTCTGTACACCCAGTATTCTCTAGTTAAAGCTGAAAATTCAACTCATCATATTTACACAATAAAAAAAATCCATTCTGCCTTGTTTTTAATTGCAAATTCTACTCAAGGGACTAGTTCTCCTGCTTAGGAGGCAGCCCTGTGCCTTCTCCTAGAGAAGCAAGTGCAGTCAATTATGGTAATGAAATGTCAATAAATATAAAAATTTAATACAGTCTGCTCTGGGTGAGTGGCAGATGAGGACTTGCCTCCCAGACAAATTTGCTGCTGCTGCAAATATTAAATGCACCTAAAAGAGTATCTGGTTGCCTGAGAGCTCTCCAGTAAAAAAAGGATGGGAGCGTCAGGTAACAACTGGGCTTTCCCATTACGCTATAATCACAGCAGCAAAGTCAGTGCTATCACTGACAGTCTTCCCAACATCTTAACTTATTATAATTTGAACTTTTTATGTCCCCATGAATAATCTAAGATTGGAGGCTAGCAGCACTTTTTTTTTTTTTTTTTTTTTTTTTTTGAGATAGATTCTCGCTTCTTCACCCAGGCTAGAGTGCAATGGCACGACCTCGGCTCACTACAACCTCCACCTCCCAGGTTCAAGTAATTCTCCTGCCTCAGCCTCCCCAGTAGCTGGGATTACAGGCACATGCCACCACACCCAGCTAATTTTTGTATTTATAGTAGAGATGGGGTTTCACCACGTTGGCCAGGCTGGCCTTGAACTCCTGGCCTCAAGTGATCCACCCACCTCAGCCTCCGAAAGCGCTTCACATGTAAGAGCCACCATGCTCAGCCCCTACTTTTTTTTTTAATGAAAAGGGAAATAAGCCTTTTCTTTTTTTGCCGCCGGACAACGGAATTATTCTCCTAAATAAAATTATTGCTGTGTTTAGAGAGCAACACGTTAATCTGATGTAATCTAATGTAATCATCTGAGAATAGCAGTTTTGTCATGCTTTTTAGGAAACAGAAAACTAAAGAATAATTTATTTGTATTTATTTAAAATTTTTAAGTGAACACTTCTGCTGTTCTATAAAGAATAATTTAAATGTGATTCTTTCATTATCCACAAACATGCAATCTTGAACGATGATTACTTTAAAATGTAGTCTCATAATACAAGTAGAAACGTATCTGCCTTTATTTTCCTCATGCACTAGTTAGTATTGTATATACATAGAACACTCTTCTGGATTCACTTTTCATGGACAGTATGTCTTTCTTTCACCTTATTCATGAGAGTTAAATTTTTTTATCTTATGTGGTGATGTAATTTTATAATATAAAAAAGGCATATATACTTGAAAAATTTAGGTAGCCAAAACCTGTTTCCTATAAAGCTTATCAAAAGTGATTATATTTATCAGACATACTAATTCTGATGCATTTTAGAATCATGGAATGTGCCTCAAACTACTTTCATGGGGAAAATCTCTTCCGTTACCAGTCTGTATTGTGGCCAGGCACGCAGTGGCTTAGGCCTGCAATCCCAGCACTTTGGGAGGCTGAGGCCAGAGGATCACTTCAACTCAGGAGTTCAAGACCAGTCTGGTCAAATAGTGAGACCCCCCATCTCTATTCTATTTTAAAAACCTGTATTGCAATCTGATTTTACCCATAGTTCTTAATAATCTCAGGTGAAATATGTGTTGCTGATTCTGATAGTCCTTAAAACTGTGATCCTGTGTTGCAGGTGGACTATTCCATAATAGCATCACAAGCCGGGGCCACCCTCAACAACCTCATGAGTCATGCACAGGAGCTAGTGGCAAAACTTCGTTCTCTCCAGTTTGATCAACGAGAGTTTGTGTGTCTGAAATTCTTGGTGCTCTTTAGTTTAGGTAAGAAATCCTTTTCTCATGCTGTGCTCAACCAACGATTGCTAAATGATGCTGAAGTTCAAATATTTTGTGGTCCATGTATGTTTTTGTTCTATCAATACAATGCCCTTCCTTTCAAATTACGAAATCTTCAAACATGAATATATTTTCATATATGTTTCTACATGATGCATAGCCCTTCACTGGATAGGTTGGGGAATGGAAAAATGAGTTTATTCAATTGACTCATTCAAATGAGTCCTGCTTTTCTTCCATAATGTACAGATAAGCAATAACCAAATAAAGCTATGACAGAGGTTTAAAACAGACAGCTCAGGAAAGATGTATGGTATCAAATTTTAGCCATCTTTCTCCCATTGATAATTTCTATGTGCCTTTTGTTTCAACTTGCCGCTTACTTCTGTTTTTATTCTTCTAAAATATGAATTGTAATTAAAAACCTGTATTTAAATCTCTATCGGGATTAACTAGAGAATGTTTATAACCCGATGCACCACTATGCAAGTATAAAAGATGACAGTTGTCAAGGGGAAAGGATGCTTCTTTAGGAAAGCTTTGGAAAAGAAAGATAACTAAGCAAGACAGATTAGCTAAATCAAGGTTCTCAGTGAGTCAGTTGAGAAAAATCACCACTGCTTGGAATAAAAAAAGGATTAAGGAGATGGATTTTTATTGACTTCAAAGGAACAGATTTTCCTGCCTGTCCCTTACTTGATTTCTGTATTTTGTTGGCTTAATAAAGCCAACTTAAATAAACTTTTTGCCAAGTCCATTTATTACTTATTGGCAGAGAGCTGAGGGAGGCAACTTCCCTTGAATGAAAAAAATGCAGAAATCAGATTCACCAACATATGTTTTTTCTTTAGTCTTCAGTTATAAGATAGTTGTGAATTCATATTCTAAGGAATAAAACAATAAAAAAGCTGCAAAGTAAAACAGATGTGTCTACTCTCCAAATTTGGTACTTTATTTTTAAAATTCTTCTTGACAGGACTGCACAACTGTTGCTAATAAAGGGGTAGTTTGAAGTAATAGAACCAGAGTTAATTTTTCACGCATAGTCAACATTTAAAATAAAAAGAGCATTTTCATATTTTGGAAAATGTGATAAATATAGCAAAGAGAAATGTTACTGAAAATTTAAATGGACAACAGAATTTCATAGATGTAACGTTCAAAGGTTTACAATGCCAAGACTAGATCCTGTGTGGTTTCTATATTAACCACAATAAAAAGGAAAGTTCTGTTCAAGTTAAGTCTGCATCTTTTACCCGAGAACAGTGTTCAGAATGTTAAAAAGGAAGATAGCAAGCATAGGCCTACTTGCTGTAATCGCACAAATTATTCTGGTTTATGGTAAGATCTTAGCCTTTTAAACTAGTACATTTGATCAGTAATTAAATGGAAAATGTGGTAATATATGTGTAAGAAATCTTATAGCATCTTAGTGATAAAATATTTAGAGAGGGTCATCTCACTTCAATGGTATTTTTAATTAATTGAAGAAATGTATTACATTTGAAGATGTACGTATTAACGATGAGCCATCTTTAGTTTTTAGCAGTTTTATCTTTCCTTCATCATTTTCCAAAATTATTATATTCTCTGCTAACACTGTGGGTAGGGGGTTGGGATAGATCTGAGATGCTTTCAACCTTTGAACCTCAAAAATATCTTCCTGAGCAACTGGGCCATGTATTTACCAGAACCTTAGTCACACACTCTGTTGTTTAATGAGCACTTGGATTGTTTCAGGAGCCCAGTGCACCAGTGAATAGCTGACCTAAATGTCCATTAAATCCATGTCTATTTGTTGCTTAAGGAAGAAAGGAAAGCATGGCTTTCAGATCAGGTAAATAGAATTCTGGCCGAGAGTCTATTTTTTTAGAGAAGCAGGAGAAAAGTAACCGGCAGTAAAATTCAAATAGTTTCTCATTTATGAGTGGAAAAACTTTTTACTCTATAGAAACAGTGGCTAATCAATTTTTTAAATTTCACCTTTATTGAGGTGTATAGATTATAGATAATTAACTTTAGGTGCCTCAGCTAGCCCCAAGTGCTGGTTTTACCTGTGATTAAGGGTGAAATCATACCAGAATCACTCTTGAAAGTTAAGGCCAAATCCTAAGCCGGTATCTGCTGTCCCAGACCTTCCTCCTGAGCCTCGAGTCCCCTGAGTCTGAAGCCTGCTGTTTTTATCTCAGCCCAGCCTTGAGACTCTTTGGTCCTGGAGATAAATGAAGATTTTGTGGACTGGTCAGAGGCCGGGGGCTGTGTTGAGAGATGACTGCAGCAGTATTCTCCTGTGAGAGATGGAACAGTGTTTTCCAGATAGATTTGGTGAGAGAAGGTAGGGTGTGGTCCAAAGCAGGTGCAGCATTCCAAGCTAGAAGCATGGCCAGTGTGAAAGCTTAAAGGCAAGAGAGAGCAAAATGAGTTTGCTGAACTGTTCGTTGATGGATATGGTTTGAGGGAAGCAGCAGATGTGGCTGGAGACATAGACAGGAGCCTGAACATGGACGTGAAAGCCTCAGATGCATTCAACACATATTCACTGAGTGCTTACTATGTGTCCGGCACTGAAGTAGGCACTGGGGCTGTAGTGGCAAGAAGGAGGTGCCATGGTTTTCATTCTCTAAACAATCAGGAAGTATAGCAGTGTTCTTAAGGGGACGGGGATACAGTGAGTAACTTAAGTTTCTGGTAGCAGCATGGAAAGTGGACTGGACCGAGAACAGTACTAGAAACCCTGTGTTCAGAGGTTTTATTTTTATTTTACTTAATTTTTTTTTTTTTTTGCTTTTATTCCTGGCATGCTATGATTTATTTTATTTTATTATTTTTAGAGGGTTTGTTGTTGTTGTTGTTGTTGTTGTTTCTTTTTTTGAAACAGAGTTTCACTCTTGGTGCCCAGGCTGGAGTGCAATGGCGTGATCTCAGTTCACTGCAACCTCCACCCCCCGGGTTCAAGTGATTCTCCTGTCTCAGCCTCCTGATTAGCTGGGATTGCAGGTGCCTGCCACCACACCCAGCTAATTTTTTTGTATTTTTAATAGAGACAGGGTTTCTCCATGTTGGCCAGGCTAGTCTCGAACTCCTGACCTCAGGTGATTCACCTGCCTTGGCCTCTCAAAGTGCTGGGATTACAGGCATGAGCCACCACGCCTGGCCTAGAGGTGGTTTTAATACTCCATGTGGTTGGACTGAGATGGATATAAACCAGTTACAGGTTTCAAGCCACAAGATGTGGCAGAGTTGAGAGGGAAATGTCTAGGGTGTGTTTGGGGTTTCTGGATGTCTAGCTGGAATAGAAATATCTACAGGAACAGTAACTGATCAGTTGATTCAAAGCGGGTCCCAATAGCAGTCATTCACTTTCTAATCTAAAAGTCATCATTCTTCACTAAAGTTTATTACTGATGACACAAAAAGCTTGTGACAGGACTCAAAAGAAAAGTACAGTGGACTCAAGTCTTTCTAGTTTGCTGTCTTACGTTTCCCCCTTCAGATTGTATCCATGAGCACACATCAGTTGGGTAAATCGGTCAGGAAAGGAAATAAGTAAAAAATGCCCTCTCAGCACATTTCTCTGTGTATAACATAATAGATTCTGTATGCCCATTCTGTATGCCCAATCTCTATTAGTCGTTAGTTGTAATGTTTTTGTTACATTTCTAGCACATTACTTGGTACATAGTATGACTTACAAAATGTTTAATAAATGGGCCAGGTATAGTGGCTCACACCTGTAATCTCAGCACTTTGGAGGCCAAGGTGAGAGAAATGATTGAGCCCCAGGGGTTTGAGACCAGCCTGGGCAACATAGTGAGACCCCATCTCTACAAAATAATTAGCCAGGTGTGGTGGCAGACACCTGTGGTTTCAGCCACTTGGGAGGATGAGGTGGGAGGATCCCTGGAGCCTGGGGGCATCAAGGCTGCAGGGAGCCAAGATCATACTACTGCACTCCAGCCTGGGTGACAGATTAAGATCCTGTCTTAGAAGATTAAAAAATAAAAATAAACAAATAGTTTGAAACTTAAAGCAAAGCCTTCACCAAAGCAACTCGTGATAGGTAATAGGAGGTAGTTTAACTAAAAGCCATATTCAAATACAGGTTATTTTTCTGAGACCAGTTTTTCCAAAGAACTCTCTAATAAATATCTCCTCAAAATTAAATTATTTCTGTTATCAGTTTGCATTCTCCCAGTTTATGAGAGGAGATGTTTATTTATAAGCTCTTTAGGAAAGCTAAAGTGAAAAAAGATTGGAAAAAATATTACTTGGCTAAAACCAGGTGGCAAATGCATTTCTGTTCCAAGCAAATGCAAGATGATGGGCTTTCAGCCCATGTTAAGTAATAGTAGTTAAGACAATGTTGTACAATTCTTTCTTGGCATTGATAGAATCCTGTTTCCAGCAAAATGAATGGAGAAAATACTATATTTGTTCATCATGATAGCTCTTTGCTTCATACTAAATTTCCAAATTTTGAATGTGACATTTGACTATACCATAACACATCCCAGGTAAGTTTTGTCCTCATGGAGACAAACACTCCAAGGAAGATGGGTTGTGGTTGCCTCAGGGAATGACTCCACCGGCCCAGACAGAAAAACCTACCGCCTGCTGAATGTCCTCACCAACCCGTCACCTGATCCTCATCTGCAGAGAAGCAACGGGCATAATTCAAGAACAAAACTGGTTGAAGAGTTGCTTGTTTCACCCACAGGTTCAGTTCAGGCATTCTGTAGTGTCTAGTCATGATTTCTTTATCTTAAAAAAATTAAGAATATTATCTTAAATATAAAAGGTCATCTAAGCAATTATTAAATGTCTCAGAATAAACAGTATTGTTTATTAATAAACAATGTGACTTGAACACAAGTTGAAAGGGATTTTCAAAATGGGTGGGTAAGACCTCCAGGGCTTGAAAGAATTTTATTTTATGATTTCTTCTTCTTCTTAATTTTAGAGACAGGGTGCTGCTCTGTTGCCCAGGCTGGAGTGTAGTGGCATGATCATAACTTTCTGCAGCTTCTAACTCCTAGGCTCAAATGATCCTCTTGCCTCAGCCTCCTGAGTAGCTGGGGCTACAGGTCACACCCATTGCCTGGCTAATTTTTAAATTTTTTTATAGAGACAGAGTCTCACTATGTTGCCCAAGCTGGTCTCGAACTCCTGGCCTCAAGCAATCCTCCCTCCTTGGCCTCTCAAAGTGCTGGGATTGCAGCCATGAGTCATAACATCTGGCCCTCCCTTGAAAAGCCTTTAAAATCATAACTTGGAAGGAAAAAAACAATATTTCTAAGGCAGAGCAGAACAGTTTTCTCTTTGTTGTGGCTCCTTTAAACTATACAAGTCTGACCCTAAACAAAGTGGGGG